ACAGAACACATGCATGACTTTACAATAACAGATCTCTACGATTTTGTTGATATTAACGCCTGACTTCTTGTTGATCAATCATGTGTTTTTATACACTGTTTTCTTCCGTTCCTGGGGTCGGTAGTTCGATTCCCGGGCGCTCCCAGTTCACCCAGCTGTAAATGGGTACCTAATTTTACAGCTTGGGGTAGTGAATGCGGTCAAGTGCAGTACCGGCCTTGCTGCCTCCTTGTGTACTGAAGGTTTCGTGTACAGTGTGCTGTGGGACCTACTGTTACTTTCAGTTAATTCTTAGCTGTTATTATATACTCGTTTATGATTTAATTCTTAGAGTGTGTGTTATTGCCAGTATTCTAAAGAAAATTACTTATCGTATGTGTGTGTGTGTGTGTGTGTGTGTGTGTGTGTGTGTGTGTGTGTACATCTTATGCTCGTCTTTCTGTCATCTTCCGCCATCTAATCATCAATTTTATAGCCGCTTCAACATATTTTTAGGTCAAATGAAGGACATCTTTGTTTGCTGCTACACGACATATTATCTTCGGTTAAGGACAGTTACTCCTTAATGACGGCCATGAAAGGACCCTATTTTACATACTTTATCACCTTAACAAAATTTTATGGCCGCACTCTGCCCAGTTAAAAGTTTCTAAAAGAGTTAAAAACTTTTATGAGGTTCGGTTGTTTTTTTTAAAGATTCAAGATTATGTTAATGAAAGTTAAGAAACATTTGACAGCTTTTATGGACGGTGGTGTTATACATGTTGTTGTAGTCGACCTCCCTAACCTGGCTAATGAATTTTGGTGGAGGAAGTTACGTCGTTAAGGATATGGAGAGGATGGGGGAGGGAGGGAGGGAGTGGAGGAAGGAAAGCGTGAGGGAAGGGGGAAGGAAAGGAAGTATGAGTTCCAAGTCTCTTGTGTTGGAACGATGGCGAGGTTCTGGGTTAAGTGTTATACCACTCCCGGGTCTGTAGTGTGTTTATCACGTCGATCCCTTGGTTATTATTATGGATGACGTCACGCTCTGATTCCATATGTGAGTGCGTTGTGTTAGTGTGTGTATTTTACGAGATGCGTAACCTAACACAACATTGGCTGTATAACATTTCTTGAATCACACCGGGTCAAAACTTGTTTGGATTGGGTGGATTGAGTTTTCAGTTCAGTAATGACCAAAATATATAGTAATAAATAATACAGATATAGTTGTATTCCTTGTTTACGTTATATTTGGACCTCTTTACTGCATCATAACATCAAGTACAACGTAATGGAACGTTGTAAAAGAAATAAAGTGATAAATATGTGAACAAAGGCAGCTTAAACAGCCACTCCCGCTCACTAAGCCGTGTTACACATAAACACTGGGAAATATGAACCATTACTAACAAGAGTCAGATCCTCAGAAAGAAAGTTGGTGCAAGAGAGGAAGAGATGTAGTGTGAGGCGGAACTGGAGGACCGCTGGAGCACATCATTAGACGACCTGAGGCTCATGTTGTGCTTCGTTAGTTACCATCCTCGTCTGAATGACAGTGGCACTTGTGAGAGACAGAGAGGAGGGAGTTGCCATCCTCGTGTGAGTGACAGTGGCAGTTGTGAGAGGCAGAGAGGAGGGAGTTATCTTCCTCGTCTGAGTGACAGTGGCACTTGTGAGAGGCAGAGAGGAGGGAGTTACCTTCCTCGTCTGAGTGACAGTGGCACTTGTGAGAGGCAGAGAGGAGGGAGTTACCTTCCTCGTGTGAGTGACAGTGGCTCTTGTGAGAGGCAGAGAGGAGAGAGTCAGTGACCTGAGACAGGATATGTGTGGGCGAGAGGCGACGGATAATGTGTGTAATGATGGACAACTTGGGGAGGGGGAGAGGTACGGGGAAGGAGTAGAGTGACAAAGGGAGAAAGAGACAGAGAAAAAACAAAAAAATATTTAATGGGAAAATATATAACATGTGTGGTTAATATGACGAATAAAGGCAGCGTGGAGAGAATCTTTTACACTTCGCAGCGCACACTATGAAAACAACATCCACAACACAACACAAGAAACACAACAACAGTAACGGCGAGAATAACACTATAACAGGGATAGAAGGCAGACAGACAGGCAGGCAGGGAAGGAGGGAGGAAGATATGGAAGAACATAAGAACATATGAAAATAAGGAGTCTGCAATAGGCCGGTTGGCCTGTGCATGGCAGCTCCTGTCGAGAGTTACTACCACTCTCTATCATCCATGAATCTATCTAGCCTCCTTTTGAAACTTTCCAGAGTTCCCGCACTTACTACAAAGTTGCTAAGCTTGTTCCACTCGTCCACCACCCTATTTGAACCAGTTTCTTCCTATCTCCCTCCTAAACCTAAACTTATCCAACTTGAATCCGTTGCTCCGAGTCCTATCCTGCTCTGATATTATAAGAACTTTATCTATATCCCCTTTATTGATTCCTTTCACCCACTTAAATACTTCTATCATATCTCCCCGCACTCTTCGTCTTTCTAGGGAATGCAAGTTAAGTTTCTTTAGCCTATCCTGATATGGAAGATTTCTAAGTCCCGGAATCATTTTTGTCATTCTTCGCTGCACCGACTCTAGTGAATTTATATCCATTCTATAATAGGGGCACCAGAACTGAACCGGATACTCGAGGTGTGGCCTGACTAGCGCAAGATATAGTTGCAATAAGACCTCTGCAATCTTGTTACTTACACTTCTAGATATAAAACCCAATACTCTGTTTGCCTTATTTCGAACATTAACGCACTGTTTTTCAGGCCGTAGGTCCGGGCTTACAAGTACCCCTAGGTCTCTTTCACAAGTCGACTTCTCTAGGTTGATGTTGTTAAGGCTGTATACATTATAAGTATTTGTTCTTCCAATATTAAGTACGCTGCACTTGCTGGTGTTGAATTTCATTTGCCATTTTTCAGACCACCCCTGCAGTTTATTTAGATCCTGTAATGCATTTGCATCCTGCCCTGAATTAATTTGCCGCCCTATTTTGGTGTCATCCGCAAACTTGCTTATGTCACTGCTGATCCCAGTATCTAGATCGTTTATGTAGATTATGAACAAGAGTAGGCCTAGTGCTGACCCCTGAGGAACCCCACTGGTTACACGGCCCCACTCAGATTTAACACCATCTACGCTGACCCTCTGTGTTCTATCGGTGAGCCATGATTTTATCCAATTTAAAACTTTCCCCTCGATACCATGAGCCTTAATTTTTCTCAGAAGCCTCTGATGCGGTACTCTGTCAAATGTTTTGCTAAAGTCTAAGTAAATAACATCGTAATTTTTGTCATTATCTACTACCTCGAAGACTTTCCTAAAAAACGTTAGCAGATTTGTTAGACAAGATTTTCCCTTTGTAAACCCATGTTGAGAGTCGTAGATTAATTCGCTTTTTTCTAGATGCGATCGGATGCTATCTGCTATAATTGATTCAAGAAATTTCCCCACTACTGACGTCAAACTGATCGGCCGGGAATCCTTTAAAACAAGGACACCCACTTTAACACTACACACACACGAGGGGCACTTAAAGACACTTCACAGGAAATTGCAGTCACTGCACACTGCTCAAAACTCGTTGGTTATTCAAACGAATTTTTATGGGAGACAATGGCGACGGATGACGGTGTTGACGGAGGTCTACCGGCCTTGATTTTACACGAACGCACTTATTTCCACTTAATCGATCACTTGATACTCACTGCTCCATGGAGTTGTTCAGGGTACTTGGTTCAAACTACAGGAGCGAACATAAACACCTGTAGAGTTCTGTAGGTTCTTATTAACCGAAGTATACAGGGGTGAGCTTACAAGCGCAGGTAGTCCTTACACTCCTATAGGGTCAACTGACCTCACTCTGACCTCTCAGGCGACATGTGGTAAATGGTATACTAGCAGCTTCCAGATGTCGCCAGGCACATTTATCTAAGCGTGTGGTGACATGAAACAGGGGCATTGCCACACGCTACTGACTAGAGAAATAATGTGTATATATATATAGAGTACATGCATGGTATACATACAACATACATAATATACATACAGTGAGGACAATATGTGAGTGTACTGTGAGTGGACTGTATGTGTACTGTGAGTGGACTGTATGTATACTGTGAGTGGACTGTATGTATACTGTGAGTGGACTGTATGTGTACTGTGAGTGGACTGTATGTGTACTGTGAGTGGACTGTATGTGTACTGTGAGTGGACTGTATGTGTACTGTGAGTGGACTGTATGTGTACTGTGAGTGGACTGTATGTGTACTGTGAGTGGACTGTATGTGTGCTGTGGGTGGACTGTATGTATGCTGTGGTGGACTGTGTGTATGCTGGTGGACTGTGTGTGTGCTGTGGTGGACTGTGTGTGTGCTGTGAGGTGGACTGTGTGTGTGTGCTGTGGTGGACTGCTGTGGTGGACTGTGTATGTGTACTGTGAGTGGACTGTGAGTGGACTGTATGTGTACTGTGAGTGGACTGTATTTGTACTGTGAGTGGACTGTATGTGTACTGTGAGTACTGTATGTGTACTGTGAGTGGACTGTATGTGTACTGTGAGTGGACTGTATGTGTACTGTGAGTGGACTGTATGTGTACTGTGTGACTGTGGACTGTATGTGTATGTTTTACGTGTGATTACATAGCCACTTTATGTGTGTTTACATACAGTATGTATGGACTTCATGCATGTTTGCCATTAGGATTATTGTCTCATTTTTGTTTCTTATTACTATAATTTTTCGTCTATCATTCGTCTGTTTCTGTGACATTCTGTTTTTTTTAAAGAACTAGTCAACATTTAGAGAGAGAGAGAGAGAGAGAGAGAGAGAGAGAGAGAGAGAGAGAGAGAGTGAGAGAGATTACAAATTTTTAGTAACACCAAAAGATTCATGATTGTCTTTTATTTCTGTTTTTTATTATTATAATTTTTAATCTTTATCATTCGTCTGTTTCTGTCTGTTTGGCATTTTTTTTTATTTCCTTAGATTTACGATGGCTGCCAGTGTTGCTAAGAAGCGGAGGTACAATGCTGAATACATTAACTACGGATTTACACCAATCCTCGCTGATGGCATCGAGAAACCTCAGTGTGTGTTGTGTTTCAAAGTGCTGGGGAAAGATTCCTTGAGGCCTAGTAAGCTGAAGCATCATCTGAGGTTTCCATTGAAATAGCAAAGAAGAAGAAGAAGGCCCACACGATTGGTGAAACTTTAATTAAGCCGTGTGCTTTAAAGATGGTCAAGCGGGTTCTTGGAGAGGCAAGTGAACGTAAGATTCAGCAGATTTCCTTGTCAGACGACACGGTAAAGCGGAGAATTAGTGAAATGTCAGATGATATCATGGAACAAGTGAAACAGGAGATTAAATCGTCTCCAACTGGTTTGTTTGCTATACAGTTGAATGAGTCAACGGATGTGAGTTCTTGTGCACAGCTACTCGTGTTTGTTAGGTATGTATTCTTGCGTGACGAATATCTGTTTTGTACACAGCTTGAAACTAAAACAACAGCTTTAGGTGTGATGGAAAAGTTGACTTCTGTCTTCACAGCTAACAGGATCACCTGAATGCCAAAGGGGTTCATTGTATGATCCATCGTTTTGCACTGGCGTCGAAAACCCTCCCTGATGCCCTTTGCATGATCCTGGAGGCAGTGGTAAAATGCGTCAACTTTGAGAAAGCAGGAGATTTGAACTCTCACCCTTTCCAGAACCTCTGTTAGAGGCATGGATTCAGAGCACGAAACCCTCCTCTTTTACTCCAAAGTGCGATGGCTTTCCACGGGTAATGTTGTGAATCGAGTGTTCGAACCTCGTGGAGAACTTAAGTTGTTCCTGGAAATGAAATGGAAGGATGATTTACTAAGTCGCTTCAATGTTGATATTGTGTTCTCTATCTCTCTCTTTTGTGTATCATTTATTTGACTTTATTTTTTATAAGATTCTGTCTGTTCGTCCATCTTGTGCGGGCAATCAACATGGTAGGTAGTGAGCCGGTCGAGTCTCTGTTGTTTTGACGCTTTTTTGTTTTTTTAATGCCCCAATTTAAAAGAGTGACTTACAGTAGATGAATTCACCATTTGGGGGTAAGGGTGGGGGGAGTGAGGGTGGGGGATGGGGGTTGGCGGGGTGAGGGTGGAGGGTGGGGGATGAGGGGTGTGGTAATGGAGAAGGTTTAGGTGAGGGAATTTAGTGGACAAAGACTTGAGAATCCAACAGACATATACACAAGATAGTCATACACACACATACATGGCAGTCATATGCACAAGACAGTCATACACGCACACAAACGACAGTCATGTACACAACAAGAAAGTCATACACACACACACACACGACAGTCATGTACACAACAAGATAGTCATACACACACATACATGGCAGTCATATGCACAACAAGACAGTCATACACGCACACACACACGAGAGTCATGTACACAAGAAGACAAGTCATACACGCCCACATAGCTTGAATGTTGTACGTAGTGCCCCATTATATCTCTATGGGGTAGGGTGGTGTAGTGTGGTGTAGGGTGGTGTAGGGTGGTGTAGTGTGGTGTAGTGTGGTGTAGGGTGGTGTAGGGTGGTGTAGGGTGGTGTAGGGTGTGTAGATGGTGTAAGGTAAGGGTGTAGTGTGGTGTAGGACATCCCGACTATAATGGTACCATCCGGTTAATCTTCACGTAATATAATTTGTATCTCGTTTCATTTTCATCTCACAACACCAACGAATATCTGACTCCCAAGAATCAAAACTCAAGAAGCGGTATATAACTTGTACGATGGTTCAGCCTCTTGATCTTCGGCTGAGCGTCGCTAACAGGTGATGGATGGGCCCAGAGGTTGGTGAATTGTGGTGGCAAATGGAGCTCGGTAAGAGAGTTGACAGATGGGTTAGCGTGCGACTGGTGGTTTGTTGTTTTACGCAGAACGTGACGCTACAGTATCTCGACCTCCTCTCTCTCAGATAAAAAGCTCGATATAATAAGAACCTAATATATATATATATATATATATATATATATATATATATATATATATATATATATATATATATATATATATATATATATATATATATCCCTTATTGATTTCTTTCACCCACTTAAATACTTCTATCATATCTCCCTCGTACTCTTCGTCTTTCTAGGAATGCAAGTTTAGTTTCTTTAATCTATCTTGATATGGAAGGTTTCTAAGTCCCAGAATCATTTTCGTCATTCTTCGCTGCACCGACTCCAGTGAATTAATATCCATTCTATAATAAGGGCACCAGAACTGAACAGCATAATCGAGGTGCGGCCTGACTAGTGCAAGATATAGTTGCAATATGACCTCCGCACTCTTATTACTTACACTTCTAGATATAAAACCTAATACTCTGTTTGCCTTATTTCGAACATTAAGTACGCTCCAGTCGTCTCCTCCACCTGGGTTCACCAGTTTAGGTGCTGGTATTGGCTCGCGACCACTCTAGGTATATCTGGCCGTCCACAGGTGTAAGGTGAAATGAGCCTGGTGAGGGAGAACCTCTTCCAATATTTGAGGTGGACATTTACCTGGATTCCTCATTGAAGGTGTGAAACGACCTACCTATGTTCAACTTTTTCTAGGTCATATTTTTTTGGAACCTTGTGGGAAAAATGTTACTGGGAAATACACTTTTATTTTCTTTCTTTTTTAGTATCAGTGAATTTTAATAGTGAGTATCTATGATGTTTGTGTAGGTTTAGTTATATTCTCATGTAACACTTAATGACTTGTGTATTTGACTGAGTGTCTATTAAGTGTTCGTTAAGTAAATCGTATAGTCTGTTAGGTAAATACGGGTCTTGTCAAGTACGTAATAGTCTTGTTAGATAAGTAATGGTGCTGTTAAGTAATAGTCCTGTTGAGTGAATTATAATTTTTTTTAAGCAAACAACCCTGAAAGATAGCAAGGGGTTGTATTTTAGGGAAGTATACGTTATATTAAGAGGTTGTAGAGGCAGCAGCTAGGATGATGATATAATAGTATGATGATGATGTAGTGGTAGTATGGTGATGATATAGTGGTAGTATGGTGATGATATAGTGGTAGTATGGTGATGATATAGTGGTAGTATGGTGATGATATAGTGGAAGTATGATGGTCATATAGTGGTAGTATAATAATGATGATGATATAGTGGTGGTATGACGATGATGATAGTGATGGTATGATGATGATGATGATATAATAATAATAATAATAATAATAATAATAATTAACGGTTTATTGAAAGAACATGACAGCCAGAAAGCTGAAAATATAGAGCTACATAATTGAGAATGGGTCTCTTGATTTACAAATAATATACAAGTAACATAAGTGATACAAATATGATATATAATAACTAGGTGGGGAGAAGCTCAAGCTACAGGTCATTTCAACATAGTGACAGTGCAAAAGAAAGATTGACTGGGAGTGAATACACTGGTTGATTACGAGTTATTGATAATTTTTACAATGGTTGGGACTGGGCTGTTCTTATAGCGATGGATTTAATTGCTCGTTTGGGCTGGATGCGGTTGTGGTGTCGAACAGCAATTCGCGGACAAGGGATCTCGGTTAGTAGAGGAGCCGGTGTCGAGGATGGATGCGAAGCTTCTCGCCAAATTTGCAGATGAAGTCGCGGTGATGGTCAGAGAGAGCCGAGAGGGTCAGTGTGTTGAGTGCTTCTTGATATGTGGAGTAGGAAGGGGAGAGAATAATCTTGCATGTCCTCTTTTGCACTTTTTCTAGGTGTTTACGTTCTGTGGCATTTAGGGAGGAAGACCAGGCATAGGTGAGCTTGGGAAGTTTGAATGTCGAGTAAACACTGAGGAGCTCGGGCGCAGGAACTCCGAGGGACTTGAGTCGGCGGAGGAGGTAGAGACGGAAACTGGAGGATTTGACAACTTTACTGACGTGTGTTTTCCAATTTAGTTTATTGTCTATAGTGGCGCCGAGGAGCTTAGCGGAGCCCACAACCTGGAGTGTTTTTGAGCCTAAAGTAATGGAAGGGGGTGGTAGTATGATGATGATGATGAAATGGTGGTGGTATGATGATGATGATACAGAGGTGGTATGATGATGATACAGTGGTGGAATGATGATGATACGGTGGTAGTCGTATAATGATAAATGATGGTAATGATAATATAGTGGTGGTATGATGATGATGATGATGATTTACTGGAGTAGTGATATGATGGTGATATAGCAGTGGTATCATCATCATCATCATCATCATCATCATTATCATCATACTAACACTATATCATCATCATCATCAGACTCCACGACACTTACACACCCACGCAGTACAGTTCTGCTTAACAACATTAACTAAGAGAAGGCGGACACAGATTTTGCGAATTTTAAGTCTTGCAGTACCGGGGCCTAAAATAACACCTTTTATGACCATTTTAAGTGTACCTTTACAACCATTGTCCAAACATTTACAGTACTATGGCAGCCACGTACCATTAAACCAGAAAATCAAATACATAAACATAACAGACGATAACATTAACTTAACATAAAAAAAACACTGACTGTAACCTATGTACACAGCCTGAGGTGTAGGGAGTAAAGTGGCGGATATTTTTTAAGTTGTATCTTTAAATCAAGTAGAATTTGTTGTGATTTTCAGTTTATCAACAATATTTTTTTCTGTTTATGTAATGTTTCGGCCTTGTACCGCCTTCATTAAAACCTAGACTCGCCAAGAAGATGATAACAAAGAGTACTACGTAAATTAAGTATCGTCAAAGTACTCGACATATCCGGAGCGTAAGATGAAACAGGACACAGATAAATTATGTCCAGTTTAACTATATACTCTTTAACAGTCTATGATCGTGACTTAAAGTGTGTGTCACCTGTCTCAACCCTTAGTAGTGGACAGGTGTATAATGATGAGGTTCCGTGTTGTTCAGTGACTAGTGAGGTTGACCTGTTAAATTGTAGTAATAGTGGACAGTCCGTGACAGGTTAAGAAAGAGGTAGGGTGGACTATAAGGTAACCTGTCAGCTTACAATGGTGAACGCACCTAAGCTATACGCATGTCAGCTGCTCCAGGTGGATGTATGGACAGTGCCGCGTGGTGACTCAGGCAAATTCACTGTTAACCTAAAACAACATGAACAGTGTGTTGAGGAATAAAGGGAGATTATTAACATCCCGCGAGCTTTCCTCTCAAAGTCACTATTTATATAAACATTGTCCATAAATGTACATTACTGAACTGATGATGAAGATAATTATGTCTTATTTGTAGTTGATAACATTGTAATCAGACCGAGTTGGTAAGGAATGAAATGTCCTCCTGTCAAAAAGTTGTTTTGTAATTACTTGTTCATGTTGTTCCAATATCAATAATATTTGCATGTATATTACCTTACTCATATTCATTGTCCATGTATATATAATGTTTACTGATGTTGAATTATCATAGAACGTCAGATGTTGATAATAAGAACATTAGTTCTGAATTTTTACAAATGGTTTTAATTTGAATATATTTATGACTGTGAATACCAGTGAGTTAATTCTGGATTTATTTCAGTATTATGATGAAGAAGGAGAGGCGGTCCTTTACTGTCCTTGCGTGCGTCCGTCCTTCCTCTGTCCTTGCGTGCGTCCGTCCGTCCGTCCCACCGTGAATGAGTATCATAAAGTGAAAGTATTACAAGAGCTTTAGACAATACTATATAGAGATGAAAAGCCTGTTATACTGAGGGCCCATAAGATGTGAAACACGTCTAGCGGATTATAT